TCTTGTGTCTCTTGTTCCTCTTCATCCCACTCCCCGTCTAGGGTCTCCGTGGACTTACCCGCAGGCCAGGACAATATGTGATATTAGACAATAAAAGTTCTTTGCATGCCATTCTCTGAAGAATATACCATTATAATGTGTCCAAGTTCCTGGTAAACACAACTCAGTTCCTGAATTGTATTTGCAAGTATTTACTGGATGCACTCCACTCGAATTTCCTTGGTATTTACTTACCTGAGTTCTCTATCCAATAGCATTCTAAAAGGCAAAAAGTACTTTTAAAACAAAAGAGAGACACAAAATTTACAAACTATCTGTTATTCTAGTTATAAAAGAAAGCCAGTTTAGATTGACTTTAGAAAATTCATGAGTGCTGTCTGGATGTTAATCACCAATTCTCGTTCTCTAGACTTCGAGAAGAACTTAGTGAGAAGGAGTTGGAGAGGGACATATATCCTTGCAAGTCCTGCTCCCAGGACCTATCTCCAATGCGGGTCAAGTTCCTAACAGCACACTCTGACCTTGAACTCCCCACTGGGTGAAGCCACAGATGAAGACTATGCCCCAATCCAAGAAGCCTCTAAAGACTCTGCTCTGGAAGCAGGGAAGTTTGAGGGACCTTTCAGATCCAAAGGACAGCAGAACCTAGATCCCACCCAATGACCTGAGTCATGATGAGAGTATGCGTATTACCTCTTCAGAGCCCAGCAGCTCAACAGAGCAAAACAGCAGGATGAGAGTGACAGAAAGGTAACAAGACTCTTAGTCAGTCTGGGTCAGTCCCTGAATCTTAGATAGAGGACTTGAGTTAAGAGTTTATGAAATCCAGGGTAAAGATGGCAGATAGATAACAGCAGAATACAGAGTTTCCGTGAGATAGTCAACTTAGAATTCAACATAATACAGCATGGGGAGTCCTGAACAGAGGGATATGAATCTTCTCGACCCAAGGTAAGAAGAACCAGTCAAACATACAGTCCTGGTGCTACAATTGGAACAGCTAAAGGCTCAGGGATCCTGCTGCAGTGCCTAAACTCTTGCAGTGGCAACTTATCAAGCCATCTGAAATCTTGCCTCTTCAACTCACTGGAAACCCACTTGCACTGGGGACAGGAGTCGGCAAACCAAATAGAGAACTGAGCTGGCGGGGAACCTGCAATGAGTGACGGGAATAAAACCTTTCCATAGGAAAAAGGGAGCACCAGCAGACAACATTCTGGGACCATGCAGACTGGCGAGAACAAGGAGCTGCAGTGACTTCAGGCAGCTGCTCCTTTCTCAAGCAAGATTGGTGGGGAGCGCTTGACCTGGGTCACACCCTGGACTGAGACCCAATAGGCTAGCCCAAACCAAGTCCCTACACCTGGCAGTGCACCCTAATGCAGTGAAGCCCTCAACAGGTTGACTGACCCAGAGGGGAGGGCCCAGCATAGGCTGCCCTGGTCTGTACATGCATAGTACACTGCAGTGGGCAGGAGCACCTAGTCAGTATTTTTCAGATGAACTGTAACCAACAAAGAAAGAAACGGGGACCTCCTATATATACCTGTATGAAAGGAACAAAAAATATGAGAAGAAGAAGCAACAAGAAAGGGTCCCTACCCCCCAACCCAGAGAACATTGATCCAGGAAAGGTAAATGCAAAGGAGATTGAGGATGATAAACATGCAATATCAGACATGGCACCAGTGGACATAAAATGATATCTTTGGGACCTCATAGACAGTTCAAAAGTGAAGTATTTAACCAAGTAAAGCAAGATATAAATAGAATAATAAAAGAAATGCTAAGCACCTCTTAAGAAGAAAAAAACAGATGGGAGAATGGAGGAACAAAAAGGGGGGGAATTGTTTGATGAAGAAAATAGAGAAAACATAGAATACATGAAGCAGGTTCAAAGAGATTACCAGGAAATTAAAAACTCCACTGAAAGCTGGCAAAACTGCTTGAAAGAAACTAAGGATAGATTATCCAAACAGGAGGACAGGTTTGCAATGTGGGATCATGAAAGGAAAAACTTCCTAAAATAACAAGGAAACAAGCAGTAATAATACAAAGGCTAGAAGACAACCAGAGGATCTATAACTTAGGAATAAAGAATGTGAATTAAGAAGCAGGGGTACAAACAAAGGAACTACCAAGGCCATTCACAGAAATAATCAAGGAAAACTTCCCAAACATAGGAAAATAAAAAGATATTCAGATGTATGAGGTATACAGACCTCCAGCCACCTATAACCAAAACAGAACTACATCCAGGAATTATAATAATCAAGATCCCAGAAATCCAATATAAGAACAGAATATTAAAAGCTTACAGAGACAAGAAACAGATTACTTACACAGGAAAGCTCATCAGAATTATAGCAGACTTCTTGGCACAAACCATCAAATTGAGAAGAGCATGAAGTATTCCAAGCCCTGAAAGAAAATAACCTCCAGCCCAGATTTATGTACCCTGAAAAATTGTCCCTAGAAATTAATGGAGAAACAAAATTTCTTCCAAGATAAAGAGGAACTAGGGGGATTTGCAGCCACCAATCCAACTCTACAGAGAATACTACAGGACATCCTAGAGAGAGAGAAAAGTACCAGGATACCAGGAACAGTGGCAGAGAAGCCTCAATGAATGGAACAGAAAGAAAAATGAAGAAGACAAACAGACAACTAATGATGGAAAAAGAGCATAACACAAATGAGGCAGGGAAGGTTGGATATAATTTCTAATATAGATGGCCTAGATACACTAAATTAAGGAAAAAAAGAGAATTGCAGGCAGAGTGGATCAAGAGGTAGGGTCCACCAAGATGCTCTTCATAGAAAATATAATTAGCCTGAAGAAGGGCATATGGACCGAAAATCAAATATGAGAAAACAGAACTCTATGTGATAGGGAACCAGAGAGTAATAGGGGCAACTGGACGAGTATTTATGGATAGGTTGGAAGGATAGGCTTTAATAGGTAAAGAAATACAACTAGAGATCAAGTCCAAAAGTGAGAAAGTTCAGAAACACTGAGGTAAATAGCAGGTTGCTCCTACAATATAAAATCAAGGGTGTTGGGGAGACCCAAAAGTGCACAGTGCATTCTGGGGGAGTAAAAGGGAAGGAATAGTCTTTAAAAAGACAGCAGAAGATATTGCTAATAGTGTATCCGGAATTAAAACCTATATTACTCGCACCACTCTGCTTAGATAGAACTTATTCCGTCCCAGTTTGTATAAAAGCACTAGATCTGAGGACACAGACAGCTATCCTAAAAATATCAGGATATAGCACAGCAATCATCTTTAATTTCCTATTAATCTATTAATCTGGATCCCTGTATAACTTATACTGTTATATCATGACTGATCTTAGTTAAATCTGATTTGCTTGATTGCTGTTTGTTATTGACAGATTTTATTCAAAATTGTTAAGGCTGATAGTATCAAGTCAGAGAGTTTAGACAACTATAGTGAAAATGTCAATGATTCACTACGGTACCCATTCTGGTTTGATTACTACCTGTTTTTGTAGTTCTACACTACCTACAAAGTTGTATTTCTATTAATACTGTTATGTACTGATATATGCAATTATACTTTATCTGATGATATAGCCAATTCTATTGATGATAACAAGAGACAACTCAGTAACCATGATATAACTCCTTGTACAACAGTCTTATATGTCTTTTTAGTTTTATGTGTCTATAGGAATATGCTTTGTTTTGTTCTGTCCTGCTTTGTTCTGTTTCTCCCACTAATATAGAAAGGATGAAAATACATGTTAAGACTCATACTTGCGCAAAACCTATAAACAGTTTATGAGAACTGGTCTTATGACACATGATGAAATGAACAAATACTTTGAAGGAAAAAAGGCACTACCGGACCCAAAGCTGATTCCAGAGTGTCATGATGTGAAATCTAGCAATACTATTATTCTTTTTTCAGAGTGATTTTAGTCTGCTTTGGTTTGTTTAATCAAACATTAATGAAGATATGGATAAATGTGTGTATGTTTAAGTGTATAGGATTGATAACCATATTACTAAGATTTTATTAGATAGTTGAATAGAACTATTTGCAGTCTCCCTGGTTGAATTCCCATCTATATGTTCCACTTTTGTATCTTGAACAATTATTTGTAAGAGGACAATATGTAAACATCAACTAGTGATTTATTACTGTTTTTGTCTTTGAATGTACTACTTCTACCCGTTTTCTGTTTTGTATTGTCTTTCTTTAAATAAAATTTTAAAAATAAAAATAAAAAAAGTTTGTGAAATCCAAAAAGATTGGAAGTTGAAAGTACAAGGAAACCCTTCCAGACACAGTGGAGAGCTGTGTACCTGAACCCCAGGGTATAGGTGATCTCTGCAGTTCAGTCTTCCCACACTCCAATGAGGCCCTCAAATGAGTTCTGGGGACTGTTGTGGACAATGAGAAAAATTTTCTGCCACTTAGCTCCACACCTTCAAGAGTTCAGTATATTGCACAGAACGACCTAGCACACACACTGCGATCCACAGCAAGGAGGGCAGGTTATTCTGTGGTGTCACCACACCAGCAGGTCTGTGTTTCACATGCGAACCTTCACTCACCTGGCCCAGAGCGAAGGAGTCATCAGGGGAAATGCAACCTTAATAGAGTTCTAGGCTTGCAGGAGACACTGGTTCCCAAGGGCACACACAAGGGCTGAGAAAAACGAGTCAGGGAGTGATGAGCAAGGGAAGAGTGGCATGTGACAGCTGCTTTGGCAGAGCTGGAGTGAGGGGGAGACCCAGGAGGAGGAGCAGAAGAGCTGCTGAGTGACTCTTACAAACATCAGGAAGAGGAAATTCTGTTTTCCATCACCTTGAACATTTAACAAGGAAAATATCATTGCCTAATGTGATAACTGCTGACTTATTAACACAAACAATAACAAGGAAAGAGGGAGCCAATAATGACAGCAACCACTTAGCAGGGTATAAAAGGGGCCCAGGGAAGGGAGGCTTCCACACCTCACAGACCTTCACCTCACAAACCACCCAGAACTTTAGCCCCAACACCATGGTCAACTCCTGTTGTGGCTCAGTCTGCTCTGAGCAGGGCTGTGGCCAGGAGAGCTGCTGCCAGCCCAGCTGCTGCAGGACCACCTGCTGCCGGCCTAGCTGCTGTGTGTCCAGCTGCTGCAGGCCCAGCTGCTGTGTGTCCAGCTGCTGCCGGCCCACCTGCTGTGTGTCCAGCTGCTGCAGGCCCAGCTGCTGTGTGTCCAGCTGCTGCAGGCCCCAGTGCTGCCAGCCAACTTGCTGCATTTCCAGCTGTTGTAGGCCCAGCTGCTGCATCTCCAGCTGCTGCAGGCCCCAGTGCTGCCAGCCAACTTGCTGCATTTTCAGCTGTTGTAGGCCCAGCTGCTGCATCTCCAGCTGCTGCAGGCCCCAGTGCTGCCAGCCAACTTGCTGCATTTCCAGCTGTTGTAGGCCCAGCTGCTGCATCTCCAGCTGCTGCAGGCCCCCGTGCTGCCAGTCTGTGTGCTGCCAGCCCAGCTGCTGCCGCCCCAGCTGCTCTAATGGTTCTTGCTGCTGAGGCCTCTGACCCCCACACTCCTGTTCCTCAGCAGTCAAATAGAGGTCACATGTCAGCTGATCATGGGAGACCAGCTGAGATTGGGTTTGGTCCCTGGATGCACTCTCTTCTCTACCGAGGCTCAAATTTCTTTTTTTCATGAAAGTTTGAACTTTCTCTGAACATACTTGCTTTCTCTCACATAGCCTCAAATGGAAATATTCCTACATTTTAAATAAATCTAAATTTTGCAAGCATAGAAATAAAATGTGGTCATATGTCCTTATTTTTCCTTCACCTGAAGATTGTTTCCCAAATAAACTACATGCTTTCAAATCCCTGTTGGTGATTGTCCCAGATGACTCCCAGTGGACTAATAAACTTCTCTGTGTGTGTGTGTGACCACACATGACCCAGTCAACTTCCCACAGCTCCACTTATGAGCACAGGAGGCTTAGGGAGACAGCTAGACAGAAATCAGTGCAACTGTCTACCTTGGAGTCTTTGTCACACTGGCATGTGGGAGATAAGGTCAGCGGCCACCCTGTTACTTTTAACCTAATGGAGGCTCTGTTTGAGTGGTTGTCACCTTCTCATGCTTGTGCTCAGGGGGATTCACTAACATCAGAACCAGAAGTTGGGGTGTGTGTGTGCACAAAATCCTTGTGAGATCACCCTGGCTTGAGAAAGGTAGGAGCAAATCAGGAGTAAGCTAGTTGAGCAGGAGCACCTGAACCCAAAGATGGTTTCAGGAATTCTCCCTCTTGTGCCCTTCCAGGAAGCTCCAGGCTGTGGGTAGGACATCAGACCTGCCTGTCTCTGGGAGAGAGTGGCTGCGTCATGGCACTGCCTCTCAGTTCCAGCCAGCTGCAGGCCACCCCGGGCAGGAGAGGGTGCAGTCGGGTCAGACAGCTCTGAATAATTTGGTCCTGGGAGCTGGGGACCAGGTCTACCTGTCACTGTGCATGCCGCATTCACCCAGGCTGTGGATGGGCACCGGTAGGGTAGATCTATCCCTGTGGATCTCATATCAACCACCCTGAGCAATGTGCACCTCCATCTGTTTCTATCCCACTCACTACTGTGAGATGCTCACAGTGAGGGGAAGCAGGGCACCAGAGAATGGGCCTGGATAGCAATTCTGCTAATGTGGTGGACAGCCCTGGCAGGGTTTCCTAGGCTCACAGCCTTGGCTACTATTTTCCTATTGAACCACAGTGGTTGTCCATGCCCCTTTCAGCTGAAACTGGACCTGGAAACACCAGGAATGCCCCAAAGCATCCCCTAATTGCTACATGTGTTCTATCTGTCCCCAATTACAGCACAACTTTTCCCTCCAATGGGAATGAGGTCACCACCAATGAGAATAGCTCTCTTTCGTTCGATCTGGGATTCTCAGTACAAGAAGCCCAGCGTGATCAACAGACCCTGATAATGTTCTCCCCCATCAGCCTCTGCTCTGTCCCCTGGAGGTGGCACCTCTGCTCCAGGAAAGGACCTTTCCATCCAGGAGTCTGAGTTTGCGCAAGAGCCAAGGATAGGCTCCAAGGCACGGCTCCCCGACAATGGAGGTGAGGGGAGCCTGTCTTTGGATGCCTTGCTTCTATGTGTTGATGCAGCTATTGGAGGGGACACAGCCCACCTCACCGGCACCCATTTAAGGTGTGTGTGACACTTTCAATCATTGAGTTTCTTCCTACAAGGGTTCTTCACCAAGCGGGCTTCAGAAAGCAGTAGCACCACACCCTCTGTGTTCCATCCTTTCTGGCGGACATCATATGAAGGAGGAACTGTCAGCTCCAGGGTCTTGGGTTTATGATTCCACATCCTTTGCTATAGATGAAGTCTGTTGGTCACGGCTGCCGTTACACAGGCTTCCCTGGCACAGGTCTCATATGTGAGCTGCTATACATTGGTGCTGATTGAGGGCCTGCAGGCTGAAGCAACAGACCCTCACTCATGGAGAAACCAGATGTAAATACTACTGTGCACATGCAGGATACCCAGAACAAGGAAGTAGCTGAGGTCCTCCAGGCATGTTGGCTGTCTGGGGCCGCTGGGTTTGTCTCTGGCTGGCAGGTGATGTTCTCTGTCCAGGCTGGACTCGTGAGCACCATACCATGTGGTAGCCTCTGGGATTTCTGTCACATTGCCCATGTTGTCACAGGTGTAGTTCATACTTCTGGTTTGCCCGGTCTGGTTTTCATGCTGTCATCAACACCTGACCACTGTGCTGCTGTGTAGTGTCCAGAAGATCTACACTGCTTTGGACTCCGTGACAAAAGGCAGAAGAGCTCAACCTGCCATGGGCTGGGCCAAGGATGGCTACCTCAGTGGGTTCCGTGGACACAGCATGCATTTCCACCTGGCCCCCTTTTATTTCTCTCTTTATATTTTTGCCTTTTCATGGCTCCATTTGCCAGTTTGGTTGCCACACATGTCACCCCACAGCCTGTGCCTATCTGCTCTTGCCAAGGTCTCATCGTGCTCTCAAATCCCACCAGCTAGGACTGGATCTCTTCCTGATGGCTCTGAGATCCACCGCCCTCTGTTGTGATCTGCCTGGGCTTTTGAGATCTGAGCTGGAGCATCCCAGAGAAACAACAAGGGCTTGCCACCCCACATTTCCAAGTCTCAGGTGGTGCTCACCTCTGAATTTTGTTGGTAGCTTATCTGGGGTTGCTCAGGTGGATTAGCTTCATTCAGAGGCCTCGCTTGGAGTTTCCAGGGCAAAACTTCATACCACGCAGCCTAAGGGAAGAATGTGCCCTGGTGTGTGTTTGTGACCTAGGTAAACAATGACCAGCCGTGTCTGTGCATCCCCTGAGTGGACTATGGGCCTGACTGGATCAAAACTTCTTTAGGTTTTCCATGACCACTGCCCTATTCTCATGGGGCCATGTTGATGTATAATTGTCAGTGTCCATGGAAATCTGGTCTCCAGTATCCCCCAATAGTGATGTGTGGCCCATCCCCCAGCACTGCCATAAGGACTTTACAGGTGGACTGCAGAGACGAGCAGGTGTGGATTGGCTCTACTTGCTTCTTCTGGGGTTCTTGCTTCTTTTGAGCTGGTGGCTCCCACCTCCCAGGACTGCACCGTGTTTGAAATCCGGCTCAGGGTCAAGGCTTCCACTGGAATTGCTTATCACACACTTGGTTCATTCACTGGCAGGCTCTTTTAAATGCCCGTGTACACAGAGGAGTGTCCGTAGATACCCACGGCATGAGTGGACTGTTTTCCCAGTCTTCTTCCACAGCCTGTGAGAGAGGCCACCCATGGCAAAAGTGCAAGCCCTGAGCTGCTGCCCATCATAGACCTGTACTCAGGTCACACCTTAGAGTCAAATGCTTCCACTGGAGCTTTGCTGCTCTCTAACCTTATCATTCCCAGTACCCCTGAGTAGCTAAACTCGGCCATGGTGTTATCTAGCACAGCCCTGATGTTAGAGAGCAGACACTGCTCAGTGGCTCAGCAGCCCTGCTGACTGCCTGGCCTGACCCTCACTGCACTAGCAAAGAGCGACCTTTGGGACATGCAGGGAGAAGGGACAGCCTGTCATGGCTCAGGCCTTATAGCCAGGTCTGTTCTGGTGTATCCAGGTCGCTGGGCCCTTTGAGGCTTCCCTCCCCTCCTATGGGCTCTGCAGCCCCCAGTGAATCTGGGTCAATCGCCGGCTGTTATGTTACATTACTTTAAAACATAGCACCTTAGCGTACAGCACATGCACCATGCTGCTTTTTTTGACAGCCAGGGATCCAACTCAGCCTGCTGCACCCTAGACCTCTCATTCATTCATGAGTTTCATTATGGTGTGGCCAGCATGGGGTGTCACACAACAATCACCCCGGGAGGATCCCTTCCCAGGTCACTTTGGGCTACTGAGGGCATTAGGATCCTGACACTATGTGCATAGGAGCCTGAGCACTTGGACAGTGCTGAGTAGAGGCAGAACTCAGCTGTGTCACGTGGCCCTCTGCCACAGCAGTGGGGTCCTAGGGACAGTACAGAAGGAGGGCTGTGGAAGACAGGGGGCCAGCGAGCCGACAGTCACCATCATGTGTCAGTCATTGAGCTCTCGTGTTGCCTTGGCTGTAGTCACTTTCCACTGTGTTTCCTGTCTGACTGGACAGTCCTCATCTGTAGGGAGCTCTTGGCTTTGGCATTAAGCCTGGTGTCAAATAAACAGGATTATCATCGTTGCTGTGAGCAGCGCTTCAAATTAAGTTTCTACTTTGGGAGGTTTGCTCTGGTGTTGGGAATCCACCCGTTGAAATTTAATTTTTATTGGCATCTCTGTTCTCAACTGAATTCCACACAGTGCCCAGGACAGAGACTGTTCAAGGAAGGCAATCTCGATCTTTGCTGCCCATGGCTGTAACCGGAGGGCCGTTAGGATCTCAGGCCTCACACCATAGCAATTAGGCAGGAATTCTCCCAGACAGCAGCCAGGCTTTGGCAGATTGTCACACTGTCCCAGGGGTGCTAGGTTGGCCAGCTGAGGGAAGCACAGGTGAGGAGCTGGAGCTGTGTGCCCTGGTGGTCAGGGGCAATGCTCCGCCTCCAAGGTGTGGTGCAGGGCTTTCATATTCCCCCTGAATTTACAAAGCAGCCTTTCCCCTAACAATGGAAAAGCTTTCCTTCTAGGTCTGTACTTTCCCCTCTGTCTCTTTGTAGAGCAAGCACAGGTATCACATTAAGGACATAGACGTTGTTGAAACCTTTTCCATCTAAAGATTTGCAAATGCAGGCTTATGAATAGAAACTGCCAGTAGAGCATTTGCTAAGCATGTTAATGTGCTAAGCACATCCCTACTGTCTGGTCTTCAGGTGGTCTTAAGACGTGCAGGGGTTCACCACAGAGAAACCACTTGGTCTCAGACCTCCTGTTCCCCGATTCCCCAGACAGTTGGTGAACTGGCAGCACCTCTCTGTCTCTCTCTCTCCGTCTCTCTCTCTCTCTAGGTCTTGATAATAGTCACATAACCAGCTGTATGCCTATATTTGTATCCTTTAACCTTTTATTGTATACTGATTAAAAAAAAAAAACTAAAGAGTGAAGTCTAATCCACTACTTCAAAGATGTGAGGAGACCATAGAGCTTAGTGCAGAGCTCAGTAATTCAACCCAGAGGGGGAGATGCAGGTGCAAATGCAGCCCGGGACAGTAACACCAGGTCACCCAGCTCAGAGAAACCTCAAGCAAATGAAGCATGTGCTGCCTTCATGTGGTCAGGCAGAGGCGGAAGGAAAAGGCAGAGGAAAGTGAGTCCACACCACAGAACCCGAGAAAGCAGCACCTCAGGATACAGCGGAACTCGTAGTCACTTCCCCCAGGGGCTGCAAAATGAGTTTGGAAGGTTTCTTGTGAATAAAAAAAAAATCAACAGTATCATTCAGGTCTTTTTTTAAACTTGGAAATCTTTTTTTTTTCTTTCTTTCTTTCTTTCTTTCTTTCTTTTCTGTTTCAAGAAGCTTGCGATATAAGGATATGAAACATGCCTAGGAAGAGAAAAGTAAACCACCAAAAGCCTGTCCACGGGCTTGGCTTCATTTTTGCAGAGAGACTGTGTCTTCACATTACCGACACAGTCATCTTGCTGGACGGATGCCTCCCCATGATGCAAGACTGTGAGTTAGCCCCCCATGCCAGCATCATGCCATTCCACCTTAAAAATCCATCCACTTAGACCAGGGATATAGCTCTGTGTCAGAAGCACCTGCCTGGCGTGTGCGAGGTTTAGAGTTCGATTCTTGGTATTGGAAAGAACCTCATCTAATCACGCCATGGCTTTCGTTAAAGCAGAGCGGTGGAAGTTCGAGCACATTTGGTTTTCCTTGTTGGAAATGCTCAGGACCAGAAAGGGGTTTCCATCTTGAAAGACTCTTGTGTTTCCCAGAATTATCTTGAACATGGACCCTGATTGACAGTGGGGAGGAGGCACAGCCTGATGCCTCCTCGTTCCCGTGCCAGAGGTCTGTGTTCACATTGCCACCTTCTGAACCCACCTCCCCTGTAAGAAATGTGCAGCACAGTAAGACTCAGCAGCCTACTCCCAAATCACGGGACAGGTCTATGGGCCTGAACAGTCAGTGTGTGGAGTGCGGTACAGGGGGCCTGGGACACTGGTTCCAAGAGAACAATGTCACGTGACTGCTGTCTTTGAAGAAAGGGAAGAGAGAAAGGAACTTGGGAAGCTGATGAGGAAGAATGATGGGTAAATCAGAACATGTAAGGAAAAGGAAATAATGATTTGCATTCACGTGAAGATTTTGCCAGGAAAATACACTTACCTAATTACATAATTGCCTATTTATTAACACAGACAACAACAGCAGGAAAGAGTGCTGCTTGGGGTGACAGCAGCTGCTTAGCAGGGTATAAAAGGGGCCCAGGGTAGGGAGGCTTCCACACCTCGCGGACCTCCACCTTGCAAACCACCCAGAACCTCAGCCCCAACACCATGGTCAACTCCTGTTGTGGCTCCGTCTGCTCTGAGCAGGGCTGTGGCCAGGAGAGCTGCTGCCAGCCCAGCTGCTGCCAGACCACCTGCTGCAGGACCACCTGCTGCAGGCCCAGCTGCTGTGTGTCCAGCTGCTGTAGGCCCCAGTGCTGCCAATCTGTGTGCTGCCAGCCCAGCTGCTGCCGGCCCAGCTGCTGCATCTCCAGCTGCTGCAGGCCCCAGTGCTGCCGCCCCAGCTGCTGCATCTCCAGCTGTTGCAGGCCCAGCTGCTGCATCTCCAGCTGCTGCAGGCCCCAGTGCTGCCGCCCCAGCTGCTGTGTGTCCAGCTGCTGCAGGCCCCAGTGCTGCCGCCCCAGCTGCTGCATCTCCAGCTGTTGTAGGCCCAGCTGCTGCATCTCCAGCTGTTGCAGGCCCCAGTGCTGCCGCCCCAGCTGCTGCATCTCCAGCTGTTGCAGGCCCAGCTGCTGCATCTCCAGCTGCTGCAGACCCCAATGCTGCCAGCCCAGCTGCTGCCTCTCCACCTGCTGCAGGCCCCAGTGCTGCTGCCCCAGCTGCTGTGTGTCCAGCTGCTGCAGGCCCAGTTGCTGCATTTCCAGCTGCTGCCAGACCACCTGTTGCCGCCCTTGCTGCTCTAGTGCTTCTTGCTGCTGAGTGCTCTGCTCTGCCTGCTCCCAACTTTAGCACCAGTCAACCCTGATGTAGTCCATCAGGAGAGATCAATCACAAAACCTCAGTTCCAGCTGGGCTTGTTTGTGGGCTCCAAATTTTGCTTTGAGGTGGCTGTCTCCTCTCCTCTAAGTTACTATCTCCCAAATTAACACAACTTGAAATTTCTCTCAAATCTTCTGGGTTTCATGAAAATATTTGCTGTCTTATCCCATATCTTAATAAATGTCATGTCTTATCCCATATCTTAATAAATCCTAATTTTTGCAGTCACACAAATATAAAGTTGTTGTGCCTATTTTTCCTTCTTAAAGTGCCCTTCTTTGGCAGTTTTTCTGTAGCTCATCTCTAAGGGGAGAGGCACTTGGTTTTCGGTGGGCCAGCTGTGTTCCGGTAGCACTCTTCCTCTAATCCAGCAGAACAGCTGGTCCTTCAGGCAGCACCTGGACAATGACAATCATCTGTGTTCCTATTCCCAAGGTGGCTGCTACATCATGCTGAAGGGCAGCCACCCTGGGAATAGGAACACTGATGTGTTAGACCTCCTGTCCTCAGGACCAACCCAATAATTTCTTTAGAAAATGATTCCCAGAAGTGCAGTGAAAATGGAATTGAGAAATGTCCAGGATAGGGAGGTAAGCCAGCACAGGTCACACATAGGGCAGAGTGCCCAGGGGCAGCTGCTGTTATGGTTTGTGTTCGGATGCCCCTGCAAGCCTCATGCAATCACGGATGTGGCTGAATCCAGTGTTCACTAATAGAGACCAGTATTAGTATCTCTCACCCAGATCTTATAATGGGTGTGTTCAGTGGAATTCACTAAGAGGAGGAACTAAAACAGGGATTTAGTCCAAAAGCCTCCTGAGTCGATCTCACAGGACAAATCTGGAAGAGATTGCAGGAAGCAAGTCAGAATAGCAGAAACATCAAAGCCAAAATGCAGTGTCAGGGGTTCTACCTTGCCTGACTCCTCAGCAAGCTCTGCAGGGTGTGGCAGCTGAGACCCCACTTCTAGTGGCCAGGACAGTGAGCCGTGCTCTCCTCCTTCTCTGCCTTGGTCATCAACAGCTACTGCCACCTGGGACAGGAGCAGAGGGCACAGTCAGGGCTCCCAGCTCTGATGACATGGCTCCTTCGAGTTGAGGGCAATGACTGGAGAAGATGGTAGGGGATGGTGTGCACTCCACCCTCACATAAACTTCTGGGAGAGCACTGTGAGGTGGGATGGTGGATGTGGGTGGGTGCTGGGGTGATGGAAGGAATGGAAGGAGCTCTCAGTGCTTCTGTCTGCAGCACTCAGAGCTCAGTGCTCTAAACTCTGTGTCATTCTCTATTATTTAGATGCCAATAAGTGTATTTTAATTATTTTAGCTAATTTTATTTTAATTTAATCTTACCCAAAAACATGCAATACAGTGGCTTAAAGAGGTGGATTTCAACCCTGGCTGCCCCAGAGGTTTATCTAAAGGAGCATAAAATATTTCCTGGAGTCCAAGCCCAACCCTACCCCACAGAAATCACAACAGCTAAAGCAGAATGTGGGGCAGACAATTTCCACAGCTCCCTGAGGGAGGGTCACGAGCAGCCAACTTTGAGAACCACTGGTTTGGGGCAGCAATTACTTTCTCAGCCTCTCATGGACAGCAAAACAGCCCCTCCCAGGAATCCCATGGTCCCACAGACTAGCTAACACAATCTCCCTTTATCTTCCAGCTTTGCAAACAGAAGCACATATAAAACAAAAGCATGCAAACCAAAGCACTTGCTAAGGTGTTTAAAGTGAAAAATTACTGCAAAGGTCATGGTTTTAACTCAGTTAAGGATGATACCTAGGGTGAGCACCCCATCTCTCTGTTCCAGGGACTTTCCTAATTTCTGCGGTGCCAATCTTGAGCTTTGGAATGTCCACAATGCTGAGCAAGCAGGGACAGTTGGTCATGCTGCCCTGAAACTGGCTGGTAATCACTGAATGGATACTTTGGGGTTCATTAGTGCAACTCTGAAGGAACTTGGGCGTTACACACTAGCAGAGACATACGCCAAACCAAAGAAGCCAGGCAGAGAATAAACTGTCCTATATACTAGCTGTTTGATTTCTAGATTACGACTAATCTGGGCGCAAATCCCCTCAACTACTTTGTGGTGCGGGGTTTACTGTGAAGGTTATGAGCTTCCTGGTGCAATGGAAGAAGTGTCTCGCATCTTGATAGACGCGGAAGTTTGCTAGATGTATCCATTTTCTCACCCATGCAGCAATACACTCAGCAGGTGTGAAATTTCAGTGCATGTAAATTTTACTTGTTCATAAAGAATAAAACCTAATGAGAAGTGGTTATGTTGGAACACATCTACCATGTTAACTGGTTTGCTGCTGGCACCATGGTTTTTATTGAACTAGCACTACCAGAAGCTTCTTGATGTTGTTCTCCACCTCCCAGCCGCGGGCAATCCCTGAGAGGAGACTCTAAATCGCATGCTAACCCCAGGGCTGGCAGCAGGTGTCTCACAGGTGATTTGCTCAGCATCCTATAAACAAGGCCCTGCCTTGAACTTGTACGAAGAGAGCAGGCAGGAAGTGCCCCAGCCCGGCCCGCAGACCTCGAGGGTCAGAGGCTCTGGGTGCATGTTAGAAATGCAGGTCCTGAGGCTGCCCCGGCACTCCGGAATTCTGGGGGACTCAGCTATCCAGCATCTAACAAAGTGCACCCCACAGTGGATGGTAAGCAGACATAGCAATTCGATAAGGTGTAGTTTATTAACTCCACTGACATTTCAGGGACCCTAAACACTATGTTGGTGATTTCTCAGCTCTGGAAATAAATTCTGAAGACACTCAATCTTGATTATTTTTGCTTCATTCACAAAATGCTTTTAATGAGTGAAATAAGAAATAAAAATAACACCACGAAGTGCAGAATCCAAGAGACCGGATGGAGGATATAATCACCAGAGAGCAGAGGGGCAGTTTAAGAAACAACGTGACACTGTCATCACGACTACACAAGTAAGTTACCTGGTACAAGTTTAAGGACAGCGCATGTCTCATCCAGGGAAAGCAATTCCAGGGACGCAGGGGTCACCAACACCACATATCTGGAGAGCTTCCTCATTCCCCCAAGATGACCCACAGGCGAGAGCTTCAGCCTCTGTGCCAACAGACACCACGCTAAGCAAATGGGCTCCCTCTCTGTGGTCAGGGGAAGAAGGCATAACTGGAAACACGAGTGGCCAGTCGTGCTGCGGGAGGGGAGTCCAAGAAGAGAGAGTGAGGAATGTGATCAGGGATAGCGAGTGTCATGTGACAGCCCAGGTGGAAGAGGTGACAGGCGTGGTCTGCTAGATGCCATTCCGTACAAGTCAGGGGGAAAAGCACAGCAGGAGAGCTGACTACAACTGGGCAAAAATGTTTCTAACACAGCATTACCACATAGCTTAGTAATTAGTTAGGTAGTCAATAAATAAAAACAAGGAAAAGGTGTTAATGATAGGGAAAGGGCAGTGTATAAAAGACTGTAGCATGAAGAGACTGCTGAACGCCAGAACCTCACACTCCTGCAAGCCCACCTAGCACCTCCAGCCCGACACCATGGTCAACTCCTGTTGTGGCTCCATCTGCTCTGAGCAGGGCTGTGGCCAGGAGAGCTGCTGCCAGCCCAGCTGCTGCCAGACCACCTGCTGCAGGACCACCTGCTGCCAGCCTAGCTGCTGTGTGTCCAGCTGCTGCAGACCCCAGTGCTGCCAGTCTGTGTGCTGCCAGCCCACCTGCTGCAGGCCCAGCTGCTGCATCTCCAGCTGCTGCAGGCCCCAGTGCTGCCGCCCCAGCTGCTGCATCTCCAGCTGCTGCAGACCCCAGTGCTGCCGCCCCAGCTGCTGCATCTCCAGCTGCTGCAGACCCCAGTGCTGCCAGCCCAGCTGCTGCAGGCCCCAGTGCTGCATCTCCAGCTGCTGCCGCCCCTCCTGTAGCAGTTCCAGCTGCTGTGACTCCAGCTGCTGCCGCCGCTGCTGGTCCTGTGGGTTTCGCCCCGTGTGTGGCCAGGTCTCCTGCCACACCTCTTGCTACTGCCCCACCTGTGTCATCTCTACCTGCCCCCGCCCCATGTGCTGCGCCATCCCTTGCTGCTGATGTGAGGCTGTCAATCCCTGGTCATATAACACACATGGCAGCCACCAGTGTCTGAAGAAACGGGGCTCTTTGTCTGCCAAATCCTCTTGTAATGTGGCCTTCAGCATTGAATTCAGCTCCTCTGTAAAAAAGCAGATGAAAACACATCTGTTAAAAGATTTTTCAGATACTCCCCATGCATCTATTTTTAGGCAAGCCATGTCTTCCCTTCTAAGTGTATGCTAGTTAAGAAGAGCTCATGGGGCACTGTTTCCCGGTATTCTCAATAAACAATTATTTCCCACGATGCTGAAATCTCCTGATGTGTTTTTCCTCCAATTTGTTAATGAATGACGTGTGTGTGTGTGTGTGTGTGTGTGTGAGACCTTCCACACCGGGAGGGGGGGGCTTATGTCACCAGTATTGGCATTTGTCCCATGACATGGGGAAGTTATTGACCTCTTCTGGCATCAGATTTCTTCTCTGTGGAGTAGAGAAACATTACATTCTCCAAAGGTTTAAGGACTGACTCCATGTAATGCCAAGCGTGCAGGGCCTCGCTTATAACTTAATTCTCTACAAACACAGCTCTATTGCTAGACTTGAACAGCATACTCTTTTCAGAGTGGCAGGGGGCTTTGTACAGCTGTTTCACCTCCAAAGCTAAGTTTTGGTGTACGCCTTAAATGTCCTTTAAAACTTCAGTTAGTTTTAAAACTTCCCAAAGTCATCTAATTTTCACTTGACTCTATTTCTTCTTCCAGGATTGGTTGTATAAATTTCAAAAGTACTGTCAACTCAAAATTTCCATACGGTATATATTAATCATGTTGTATTTCCAAATAACAAGTATACTGAGTTATTTTATTTTGAAAACATAAAAACGATCTCAATATCTTAAGAGACAAAATGAGTGGGAATTTGTATAATGTGGATTCCACCCCAACCTTGGTTGGGTGATGTATTCTTCAAATGTCACTGGAACACTTATTAAAAGACACTCTCCAGTTCATCCTCTTCCACTTACTCTGCATTGATCCACAGAGCACAGCCCTGCTTTTCTCTCACTAGGATTTACACATCTTTCATCTTCCCTTGTTTTCTTCTTTGACAGCTCCTAATTACAAAATATAAGCCTTGGCTTTAATGGGATACTTTACTAGCTGGAGCTAAATCAAAGCAGAGCAATGTTACATGGTCCTTTCAGCTTTATAATACAGGAGGCTTATAATTTCCAGTTTACAAGACCAGGAACAAGCTGGCACACGTGTGGTAGGAGGACTGCTCACATAGCTGTAAGTTAAGAGATGCTGGTTACCCAGGGATCACAGCACCTGGGAGCAGGTGTGAGGTCCTCTGTGAGGACTTGGAGAAGAGGCAGGTTCAGCATGCAAGGCTTGCTAGGTTTAGTGTGAGCAGGCATTCAAACATGAATATTGCCTTCTGGGAGAACTATGGTGCCCCACAAGGTCCAAAAGTCACACTGGAGTAGTTGGATAGACAAAACCAGGACAGAGATAAATATGAATGAGACAGTATAATTGGTGTTTTTATTCTGTGGTCACATCAACTTTACCTCAATATAGAGTGAGAGTGGGTTTAGGTCAATGAAAAACAAGGCTGCTCTTTGTTTTATCTGGTGATGGACCTTTGGAGCTGCTCAAGCCCTTCCAGGTGAGAAATCCTAAGCAATAAAGCAACAGTGTTCTGAGTGAGGAAGTTGCAGAAGCAAAACTTGTAATCACACACTCCCATCTCAGTATTCCTATCTGGCCCATGGGTAAGGAAGACAATGCCGGAGGTTAATAGTAGGCTCTAGGGGAGTGGCCAAGGTGGTTCCTCCAACGTGGGTGGCTGGACTCCGTGTGTAAGAGGAACTTTATCAGCATTGGGCGATCATTGAGCCACTGATGGCAGAGACCCCAGTGTCTGTTTACTGTTCTGTCACACAGCTGTTTGAATTTCCACAGCCTAATGCTGTAATTCAGCGAGGCAGATGGGACTCAGTGGCCATCATGAGCAAGCTAATACCAGATGCCAGTGATGGTGGTGGCAGGGCATGAAAAATCATTAGTGGGTAGAAAATCAAGTCCAGAAAAAAAGAAAGAAAGAAAATCCAGGAAGGAATTTAGTGTATGCAAAGGGGACATTTCAAATCAGTGAGGAATGGGGAAGATGCATTGTTTAATAAGAGGTGTTGGGCTGTGGTCATACCTGATTTTAAAACATGTGGACCCTGTATTCCTAAATGTTTAAACAAAGAAAGCTTGACATCCTGAAGCTAGTGGGCTATGGGGAATATTTTTAGAATTTGTAACTGGAAAAGCCTTTTGAAAAGCCCCAGAAACCTCTGTCTTGGTTACTTTACTATTGTTGCTGAGATAAAATACTAGATAGCCAAAATTAAGGAAAGAAAGGTTTATTTCGCTTACAGTGTGTGGAGGTTTCAGTCTGTAATCAGCTGGCTCCCAAGTAGCAAGTGCTGCGAAGCACCCAGGCAATAGCTCATAGGCAGAAGACAGCAAAAGCAGCCAGAGCAAAAAGGAGTGGGGGGGGGAGCCAGACTCCTGTCCTCCCTTACATGGTGAGCAGGCTACCACCCCCTAGGGCCTCTTGCAGAGGCTCAGGATGTTTACAAAGTAAGGACCTTAACCCCCTGCTGAATCACTCCACTTAGTTAAACTCTAAACTTCTCAAGTTGACACAATGTATCAACCATCACAGCCTCAAAAGCAGCATGAGTTAAATTTTTTTCTATCTGATTTTGCAGAAAGGCAGGATACCAGCTGCTTAGGAACACCCAGCAGGGATCACATCATGGCTCCTCTATTGACTGTCCTGAATCTTTGCCTCCACGCCCTTGCCCTGGAGGAGGGGATTTTAATGGGATTTACTCCCTGGGCTGTGGAGACTGCTAATGAGCTGATAGGGACAGGGACAGGGTTCTGGACACTTGCAGACCATGTGGCTGCCACAGTTTGGTGTCCTGTGAAGTGCCCAGCACAAGATTTCAGACCCTTGAGAAGGAGACCATTGGGGATCCCCCAGCCCGCTGCACCTCCCTGTTGCCCAGACTCAAAGGGAGGAGGAGATTGCATGAGGATCACCATGCGGACTCCCAGGCTTGGGTTTCAAGGTCAATTTTTCTTCCTCATTTCTAGGTTGGCTTTTACTTTCCCAAGTTCTTGTTTTTGGGACAGGACTTAGCCCTTCTAATTTTCTCATCCTTTATGAGTTTTAGATTATTTACTGTCAGGAGTAGGGGATGTGAATTACTCACAGAGATACAAACTTTAGAAACACATGGTTACACTGGGGTCTCTTTTGTGAGTTTTACAAAGAACCAGGGAGATTCATAGCAGTATGTGTCTCAACTATGATAAATTTTTTTGTCTTTTTGAGACAGTTTCACTATGCAGTTTAGGCTGGACTTCAGCTCACTTTGTAGCCCAGGCTGGTCTCAAACTTGCAATGATAGTCCTGTCTCAGCCTCCCAAGTGCTGAGATTATAGGGGTGCACAACCATGCCTGGCTTACTGTAATAATTTAAAAAATTTAAACATTAAAAAATAACTTACAAAGAGTGAGTTAGATTTTGCTGTGAGTTAGATCTGGAATGTTCCCCTAAAGCCTGTGTACTAAAGGATTTATGTCCTGGGTGGTGTCATTAGGAGATGCTGCAACTCATTGAAAACTTGCTCTGAGATCTCAAGAAAGTTTTCAGCATGCCAGAATTTGGGGAACCAATCAAAAAATCAAGGATCCAGCCTTCTTGGGAAGCAGCACAAGCTGTGTGTGCACCAGGAAGAGAAAAGTCAGTGTCTCCTGAGAATCTGCCATGCTGAGACTTGGAGGACCAACCTGCGTTTGGGCTGAGAATTAACACCCTCCCCACCAGCAATCCACGATTCCAAAGGACAGCATGAGTTGACAGCAATTTAAAGTACATAGTGCAACTAAATGCTGGTATTGTTGGGTTGATTATGCAGGCGTGGGGCCAGTGGTCTGAGCATCTTTCTGGAGGATGACAGTTTGCAATATAGCAAATACAGGGGAGTTCCTTCTATCTTGTCTTTGAAGTTCAACAGTGTTTTCACTGTTTTGCTTTGTTCTGATGAATTGTTTTTGCTTTACTCAATATTCTGTTTTGATTGTTTTTTTGTGCCTTGTTTTTGGTTTGATTTTGCTGTATCTAACTATTGTGAAGATGACAAGATATACTATGGTATCTATTGTTTTCCTGGTCTCCTGCTCTGAAGTTCTGTACCAATTTTGCTGCATTGTCTTGATTAGCTTTGTTCTGTCTTGCTTTGTAGTATTTTATTATCCTTAAAAAAAATTTTTTTTAAAGAAAAGTTCTCAGGTTACCAGGGACCTGGAAAAGAAATTGTGAGATCTCATGGCTTTCAGGTTATGGGATGAATGGGTTTTTTTGGGGGGCGGGGTTGGTACTGGGATCAAACTCATGATCTTGTGCTTGCCAGTCGGGTGCTGGTACTGCTTAGCTCAATCCCTGACCCTGGATGAGTGGTTTTTGCTCTGCCCTACTCTCCTACACGAAGTGCTGCTTGGTCACTGGCTTGCAAAAGCACACAAACACAAGACCCCAAAGCAGGAACTGCAAACTGACCCAGATAAATCTGTCCCCTTCATAAGCAGTCTCTCACACTATGGAGACGGACGGATGACTAACACCCCTCATTACACCTCTATTTTCAACTTGTTACCAGCCAGGAACTTTATTATTTTATTATGCTGATTGCCATCACCTGACACTGAGTATGTTGTTAAACATACCCCAGAGTGTCTTGGCCCTGTAGAGGCAGGTCAAAAACTAAAATAAATTGCCCATTGCATATGCACTGCTTCATATTCCTGGCTTTTCATAGCTCCTCCCTGTTTCTTCCAGGATTCCAGGGTCCCTGCAATCTCCCCAGCTCTATTGCTTTCCGTTTGTCTCCCATTACTTCTCATAAAAGACTTTCAGTGAACTGTTTCCACCACAGCAGACCAGAGATAGGTACAGTCCCAATCACAGGCTTCTTCTCTGGATTCCCTTCCATCACCATGTGTGTGAATGATATGTATCCTCAAATGTCAGCGCGTGTCACTGGAAGGCTTCAACAGGCTCTTCATTCACTGAGCAGTTATCTCCTTTATCAGAAGCTCATTCTGTTTCTGGGTGTGGTGGGCAGAGAGGAGCAAAGCCCGTTCCTGGGCTAAGGGAGTGGATGCTGCAGAAGGAGCCAGCAGACACATGATTTCTGATACTGGATGAAATCACTGAGTTTCTGCATGCATAAAGTTCCAGAGAAAGCCAGTGGAGGACAGACTTCACTTTGTGCAGAGCCAAGGACACAGCAAAGGCCAGTGGTGTTCACCTGACCAGTAAAAGATGACCAACAGGGTGCAGAGTTCATAGTGACACCTCTCCCAGGCAAGGGGGATATCTTGCAGGCAATTAGCTCCTTCCTTAAATATTTTTTGATGCCCTGAGAGCCCTTATTTTGGCCCGTAATCATGTAAGCCTTTGATTTAAAAATCCCATGGATACCCAGGTGTGGTGGTGCATGCCTGTAATCCTAGCACTCAGGAGGCTGAGGCAGGAGGATTGCCAAGAGTTTGAGGCCAGCCTGGGCTACATAGTGAGTTCAAGACCAGCCTGGACTATGTAGCAAGACATCTCAAAAACTTAAAAAAATAAAAATAAAGATGAAACAGTTTAAGGGTGCAATTTTTCCCTAGGTATATGTGATATGAGGAATTTGTCTTTTATATTCCCCTTACTGTCTCTATAAAATTTAGACATAAGCAATACCACAAAAATTGCTAGATTTTTAAATCTCAAAACATAAGATAATATTTTAATAGATGTCAATCATGCATGAAGATGACATGTGATAGTCCAGCAGGTAGGATAAGAATATTGTCTGAATTACTCTATCAAAGTCTGGGAGGACAATTCTGAAGGTAGACACAGATCCATTCCAAGTGATTCTTCTTCAGTCCTTAAAAAATGGAATCCCTGCTAACTGTTTCAAGTGCCTCAGAGTGGTGAGAAACATCTTGGAATGTCCGAGGCAATTTACTACCTGGATAACCACCCGGAATACACATGAATCAGAATTTCCTCATTTTTCTCACTAAAAAAGAGGAATTTAGTGCCTTTTTCATACCAGCATGTCTCTAACAAAATGTATATTTATCCACGAGGAATCCTCACCCTTTTAGAAGCTGTCCCCAGATCACAGAAGACTGAGAAACAGACAAGAGACAGTGACCTTCCTGCATCCTATGATGCTCAAGGACAGAGGCCATGTGATGCTTCAGCATGGGGTAGAGCACTCAGCAGTGACCAATGCAGGAACAAGCAGGAAACTGGAGGAAAGGGAGATAATTGGTAATAATTGCTCTCCACTTATTGGGCATCTTTTTTTACTGGAAAAATATACTTTGTTAATTGCATTTGTGTCACATAAACAAAAACAAGAAAGCAGTCATTTCCTATACATAGAGACACCTCAGCTGAGTATAAAAGGGGGCGCATGGCAAGGAGACTCCAGTTGTAAACCTCAGTCTACTGCAAACCACCCAGAACCTCCAGCCCGATACCATGGTCAACTCCTGTTGTGGCTCCGTCTGCTCTGAGCAGGGCTGTGGCCAGGAGAGCTGCTGCCAGCCCAGCTGCTGCCAGACCACCTGCTGCAGGACCACCTGCTGCCAGCCCAGCTGCTGTGTGTCCAGCTGCTGCAGGCCCCAGTGCTGCCAGTCTGTGTGCTGCCAGCCCACCTGCTGCCGGCCCAGCTGCTGCATCTCCAGCTGCTGTAGACCCCAGTGCTGCCGCCCCAGCTGCTGCATCTCCAGCTGCTGCAGACCCCAGTGCTGCCAGCCCAGCTGCTGCAGACCCCAGTGCTGCATCTCCAGCTGCTGCCGCCCCTCCTGTGGCAGTTCCAGCTGCTGTGACTCCAGCTGCTGCCGCCGCTGCTGGTCCTGTGGGTTTCGCCCTGTGTGTGGCCAGGTCTCCTGCCATACCTCTTGCTACCGCCCCACCTGTGTCATCTCCACGTGTCCCCGCCCCATGTGCTGCGCCATCCCTTGCTGCTGAGTCCTGGTGCTGAACCCCATCCTTCCTCTTCCCTTCACCTTTCTCATTACAGAAGCAGACCTCGGGCATCTAAACTATGACATCAGAGAATACATTCCCACTACCTGTGTGTCCGCATGCTGGCCCCAGGCAAGCTGTCTTTGGTTGACCTGAATCATTATACTACCTGTTAAGAAATTAATAAGAGCTTTCAGGTCCTCTGCTTTGGAACATGGAACCTCTGCAAGGCCAATGCAAGCCAGATCACAGCCTCAGACTTGAGGGTCTCACAGGGCCACCTTCTATTTCCTTTTACTGTGGGCTTCTGTGATTTATGGTTGCTACTTTTAAATAAAACTAAACCTTTCATGTCATAGAAATGCATCTCTGTTCTGTTTCTTTATAATGATTGTCCTGATACTGAGAAATGAAATACAAAACAGAGAGCTGAGCTTTCCTGTTACCTTTCTCACCTTCAGAAAAATTCCAACATGAAGCAACTGCAAGAAAGAGAGAAGGAAAATAACACTACATGCATAGCTGTTTCCTGGCACTGAAGAATAATAAAGACTTTAGTTTAAAATTTTAGGAATGTGAAGGAGTGGATTAAGTTGGTTTATATCCACAACAAACCCCTGAAACATTTTTCAAAGCACATCTTTCCTTACTGGTTCACTCCCACTGTGTGCTGCAGCCCTCCAGGCTGCCTGCCTTCCTCTCTCTGTCTCTCTCTCTCTGTCTGTCTCTGTCTCTGTCTCTCTGTCTCAGTCTGTCTCTCTGTCTCCCTGTCTCTCTCGCTCTGTCTCTCTCTCTCTCTCTCTCTCTCTCCTTTCTTTCTCTTTCTCTCTACATCCCTCTTCCTCCTCTGTTCTGCCATTGTCTCTTTTCTCTCATTATTGGAAAGCCATAGGATACTCTGGTTATGGATTGAACCTAAAGGTTTCTCCCAGCTCCCATGTGTTCAGAGGGGGTCTTAGCAGGCAATGAGGTGTGAGATCCACCCTCAGCAGTGTATGCATCCATCTGTCAGTTCATAGCTCAATGCTCTGTTGGAAAATAAGGCATGGTTGAAGGTGGTCATGGAGGTGTGACGTGAGTGTGTGTGTTCTTGTCCCCAGCTCTGCTGCACTTTTTCTCCATGCTTCCAGGATACAGCTCCATTACCCTAGCATCACATCACTAACACCAACAGCACATCCTTAATCCCAGAATCAGCTGCCTGCAGAAAGCCCCACCTATGTCCTCACAAGGCTTTGGGGGAACATCTAGTGCAACCCAAAGCAGGAAGGATAACCATGACACCTGAATAAAATTCAGAAAATAGTTTTTTGTAAACAATAAGAATTGACCAATGCAGGTAAAATTTGAGGGACCCCTTATCTCAGAAGAAAATTATTTAACTAACATTACCTCAAGCCTCTGCAGATTCTCACACATAATATTTACCATTCCATTAAAAATACCAGGCATACTAGGAAAAAAAAGCAAGTGATTAACATCTAGGTGAATAAAAGACAATAGAAAAAAAACTTAGGATGATCTTTAGATAGGGGCTAACAACGACTTTAGAAAAATTGTTAGTGCATTTGAAGCAATAGAAAAAATGTGACTTTCATTAACGAAGTAGAATTCAGAGAAAAATGTTCAATAAAAGTTATAAAATTCAAAAGGCTCAAAACCAAAATTAAGAATCCGAGATGGTTGAATAGCAGCAGATTAGACACAGTGGAAGAGAAGAAGATCAAAGCAGAAGTAAGAAATAGTCACATCAAGGTGCAGAGAGAAAAGAAAGACAAAGACAGTATAGACAAAAAGCGTAAAACTCAGGAGAACATGGAGCAGTGACCTAACGTAGACATCAAATGGAACCTGAGGAAGGGGAAAGGAAGAATGGGACAGAAACTATCAATGAAGAGGTACTGAGGGCCAGTTTGACAAAACTACATCAAACTTTGTGTGTGTGTGTCTGTGTATGTGCCGGAGATCAAACTCAGGACCTTGGGTATGCCAAGCAGGCACTTATGGCACTGAGCTAAACCCATGGGCCCAGTGTGACAGAAATGATGGAATACTTCAAGTCTCAAGGCCCAGTACATCTTTGAATCCCAAGTAGAGGGGATGGTAAGTAAAGTCACAGCCAGGCACACCATGGGCAAGTGTTGAAAACCAAACATACAGAGAAAAACCATGAAAATAGCAATCAATTGATGTAGCTGTGATACAAAATAGCAAGGAAGCTTCCCAGAAGATTAAAGCGAGAACCATTGTATACAACCCAGCAATTCCACTATTCCATCCACATCTGAAAGAAGCACAACTGGGGAGAAGAGCTCTGTGCACTTCTGCGTTCACTGCAGGATTATTCCTAATAGCCAAGGACTGGAATCCACTGCTAGATGAATAAACATATTATGGATTAGATGCAAAATGGAATATAATTCACACCTAAGAAGGAAGAAAGCCTGCTGCTGGTGAGAAGATGGATGGGACGATTATGCCAAGGAAAATGAGCAAGTGGAAGAAATTAAAATACTGCATGGTCTCACTTTTGGGGGGCTGTAGAAGAGCAGAATTCCCAGAAGCAGAGTGGAATGGTGATCACCGGGGACAGGAAGGTGGTGCAGAAGGGGAGATGACAGGTACCAAGGTGCAGTCACAGGGGCTGAATGAAGGCTAGTGCCCGAACATACACCGATTGGCACTTCTGAAGAGAGAAGCTGTGAAGTGTTCACACAATGAATGTGCACCCCTATGTGCATGCACACGCTCACAGACATGCATGCTTTTTCTACCTGGACCCCTACCTATCATGGTGCAGGGTTCCTCACTCAGAGCCATCATTTCATGAGGCATGGCAAAACCATAATCCTCAATTAATTCCACTACACCTTTGCTGTCGATTAGCAGGGACAATTCCAAAGACAATGTGTGGCTATGCTCAGGGACAATATTCCTGGAAACGCAAATGCAATGCTTGCTTCTCTCCATTTTTTTTTACCAGCTTACATGAGCCAGATATGACCAAAGAGGGCTTTGCCTGCTTTGAAAAATTCCTGCCAAAAAGAACTCTTTGGCGTACTTGATGGTGTGCAGCTTACATTCCTATGGAAGATGAACTGAGTCCATTTCACCTGAAGATAACAGACACTGAAGGTTTCATCAGTGTTTTGATATATCAATGTATCCTCCACTCATTTGTGCATTTCCTTTCCAGGACATAATCAGCCATTACTCTGAGGAGTCCTGGTCCCTTTAGGAGGAGCATGGTATTAGAAACCATCCATTGAAATGAAGGAAGCTCCTCATTTCCAACTGAAACACTGTCTTCTACCTCAGCTTCTTAGTATCCCAAGTTACAAAATATTTATTCAAAAATTTATCCTATTTCACTGCATGAGTGTCCATTGAGGACCACAGGGCTCCTATTCAACTTCCCAACTTCTACCTACACATCTTTTTCTCCCATTCCCAAGACAATGCTTCTCCAACAGAATGACTCTTTGTCTTCATTCCACAGTGTTTGTATAATCTTGGAATAACTTTGACAATACTAACAAAAACAATGCAGTTGTGAAGACAAATTTAAATTTGATTCCCAAGTTTTTGAAAAAGACATTTTGGTCTTATGCCAGTTGCTTTCTGTAAAGTCATGCCTGAGTTTGTCCAGAGGGTCCATTGTTGTGGTTGTTTTCATGATCTTGAGAGATATTTAAAGTTTAATTTTGTCTTCTGGTTAGGTGAAATCTTCATAAGAATTCAGAGTCCAAGAACCAGAACATGGTGTATTAAAATGTAACATCCAGCCGGGCACTGTACAGTTTTCTGACCATTCCGCGCTGTGTCGGGAATGCAGTGAAGGCAAGCGGCGCAGTGTGCAGTAGACCCAAGAGGAAGATCTGCACTGAGTCCTGGTGAGTACTAGGGACTGGGTCCCACGGCTACTGTGGCTGGCTGGAGGACATCTTGGAATTGGGCAGAGCGCAGCACCGTGATGGCATCAGTGACACAGAGAGAACTAGTGGAGGACATCTTGGAATTGGGTAGACCTGGTGCCGCAGTGACATTAGATAGTTGCTCCTGGCACAGAGGTAGAGGGAAGATGGGATTTGGGCAGAACTCTGTGCCACAGTGACATTCGTCAGCTGCTTCTGGCACAGAGAGGACTGGCAGGATCTCCCGGGGCTGAATCAAGCCTCTGGTTGGGACCCAATAAGCACAAAATAGTCTCGACACTGACATCCACAAAGTACAGCTTAACTTGTGAATTGACTGGCCCAGAGGCTGGAGGCTAACCTGCACCATCCCTGCATCCCTGCCTACCTCAGATAACAGCAAATTAGGGAAGGCAGCAAAAAATCAAGTCAGCATGCTTCAGAAAGGCCCTAAGCAATACGGAGAGGGCCAGACACACCCAGGACACTCCAGTCTGAAAAAACCAGAAACATGACAAGAGATAGAAATTAAAAAAATCTCCAACTGCCCAACATGAGAAAATAAGCCCAGGAGAAGTAAACACAGAAGAGAATCAGCACAGTAATCATCCAATACTGGACACAGCATCTGCTGAAATAAAAAAAATACCTCCATGACCTCATAGATAAATTTGAAGCTATACTCCTGACCCAAGTGAGGCAAGATATGAAGAGATTAATTAAAGAAATAAGCCCTGCCCAAGAGAACACAGATGGAAGAACGGAGGAAATCAGAAAAAAAAAAGAGAAACTTGTGAAGAAGAATTTAAACATAACCTAGAATACATGAAACAGATCCAAAGAGATTACCAGGAAACTAAAAACTCCATTGAACACTGGCAAAATGCCTTGACAGAAACTAAAGTTAGCCTTTTGAAACTTGAAGAGAGATTTATGATACATGATCATGAAAAAAAAGACCTCTTAAAAATAACAAGGAACCAGAAAGAAACAATTTAAAGGCTAGAAGATGACAAAAGGATACATAACTTAAGAATAAAGCATGTGAGTGAGGAAGCAGGAGCAACCAAAAATGAAATACAAAGAATATTCACAGATATACTAAAGGAAAATTTCACATTTATAGGGAAAAGAAATGATATCCAGATAAAAGAGGCATACAGAACACCAGCTACCTACAACCAAAACAGATCTACACCCAGACATATAATTATCAAGATTCCAGAAATCCACCAAAAGAACAGAATATTAAAAGCAGCCAAGGAAAATAAGCAGATTACCTACAATGGGAAAATTATCAAAATAATAACAGACTTATCAACACAAACTCTTAAATCAAGAAGGGAATGGGAAGAAACATTCCAAGTCCTGAAAGAAAATAATTTGCAACCAAGACTCATATACCCATAAAAACTCTCTCAAAATTAATGGAGAAATAAGATGCTTCC